TGAGAATTAGGGCAGAAGAGGAAACATGGGGGAGTTGTGACTTTTCCTCCTCCTGTCATAGGATTAACTTGTTCCAGTGATTTTTTCCCCCCATAAAACCTCCAGGGGAACAAAGCATTAGAGAGTTGCATTATTCAAATGTCTTCAAAACACTGGGGATACGTTAAACAGAGTAAAGACAAGGTCTTTATCCATAAATTTTATATTTTATTGGGGTGGGGCGGCAGGGAATAAACTGACAAATATAATTTCAGAGATACAGAATTCTGTAATGAAAATATACCAGGGTGAGCAGCTGAGTAAGCGACCCAGGGGTCCTGTGTTACCTGGATGGGAGGCCTGACACCTGAACAGCCTAACCTATCTCCAGGTAGGAGGAGCTAAAGCAGACAGCTTTCCTTAAAAATTCCTACCATTCTGAAGGACCTAAATGAACTTCCACTTCATCTACCATCTGCTCATTTCATACATCTAAAAATGCAAACCCAGAAATGACAAGGCCAAATAGCATAAAGACTCTGCTCTTTTCTTCTCCATCACAGGTTTCTCTAGCAACAACTCCATCCTAGGCCTGGAGAGAAGCCAAAACGACCGACCCATCTGTAGATGCGTCACTATGCTTGGCAAGTCGTTTAGATAATTTCAACTAGCTAGAATTGACTGTGCCCAATATTGCTGTTTCACCTTTTTGGGGTGGATATGCAGACAGCTACAGGAAGCGGATATGAGAATGTCTCTCTCACACACACCCTCAATTTTGTCTATTTTAAAATCGCATAATAGTGGAAAGAAAAGGTTTGCTAAGGTTTTCTGTATTTTCAAAATCTTCACATTCTCTGAGAGCATAAGCTTCACAAGACATGAACAATTTGATTTTCATGAATGGCTGAATAAGGAAAATAAGGTAGATAGAGCCATGTAGCACTTCATAACCAGGATACATTCTAAGAAGTAAACCACTGGATGATTCTGTAGTTGTGTGAATGTTATAGAGTGAAATTTCACAAATCTAGATGATCAATGAGCTACACACCTAGGCTACAGATAGCTCAGCCTATTGGGATCACCATTATATCTGCCACCCATCACTGATCAAGTGATGCATGACTGTGCATGCAAAGAAATACTATTCAGTCATAAAAAGGAAGAGCATCCCCCTATTTGTGGTCACATGGATGGACCTTAAAGGTATTTTGTTAAGTACGCGAGACAGAATGAAAATATTGCACTCTGTCACTTATATATAGACTCTAAAAGAAGCTCACTAGATGCAGCAAACAGATTGGTGGCTATCAGAGGTAAGGGCGGGTTGGTGGGAGAGTGTTGAAGGGTGGGTAGTAAAATGGGTGAAGGTGGTCATCAAAAGGAAAAAATACCACTTATACTATAAAGTATAAATACTTTCTGGGTACATAATATGTAGCAAGGCAATTATAGTTCACAATTGTAGATTTCAAAATTTCAAGGAGATTGAATCTTAAAAGTTCTAACAAAAAATACAACAAAACTAAACAAAAGAAATCAGACAATTATAAATGAGAGGCATTATTCAAAGCAGGAGGGAGAGGGTACAAAACGAGGGCGGGAAGAACACAGGGGACTAAGGTGATGGTGCACAGGTGACTTGGTGAGGCAACGTCTATGGGGACTACCCCGTTGTAAAATATATACAAATAAAGAATTTAAATATATATAAAAAAGTTCTTATCACAAGAAAAAACGTAACTATGTGATGTGACAAATGTTAACAAGACTTATAATCATTTGCAATATAACTATATATAAAATCATTATACTCTGTATCTAAAACTAATAAACCATAATATGATAACTATTATGTATAAAATCATTGTACTCTGTATCTAAAACTAATAAACCATAATATGATAACTATTATGTATAAAATCATTGTACTCTATATCTAAAACTAATAAACCATAATATGATAACTAAACCTGGAAAGGGAGAGGGAAGGGGAAATGAAGAAACAGCTCTGTCACCTACTAGCATGAGAGACAGGGTGAATTAGACCTTACTGAGCCTCAGTTTCCTCATCTGCAAAATGGGGGTACAACAAAGCCACCACACAGGGTTGTAGTGAAGAAGAGATGAGACAATTGAATGATAACATTTAACAGGCTTAATAAGACTAACTGACTGGGAGCTAAGACCCACACTTCTACCCTCATGGAGTAGATGTTACTCTTCTCCCATTTGACAGGTGAGGAAAGGAAAACAGAGGAATTGAATAACCTGCCAGGGATCACCCAGGTGCTAAGTAACAGGATGAAATGTGCTCACTACAGTGTGTGACAGATATTGAATCTCTAATAGAGTGTCTCTACCTTTTAGCCTCAAGCATTGATGACCCTGCCCTACACAAAGTGTGCTTCGTAAATGTCAATGGGCTGATTTGTCTTTCTGGAAAAATGAGTAATGCCCCACCATCCCAAAGGTGTCCACTCTTTAACTAGTCTATTCCCTATAACTAAATTGCCATTTTATTATCACAGCCTCCAGGCCAAACTGCGAATGCGAAATCCCATCTTGGCATTGTTCATGTTTTTGCTCCGAAAGCTTGGGACTTGGGAAACACAATCATATTTATTTTAATAAAACTGCTTTATGACTTACTTGCCCTCTAAATTCCCTTTGCTCTTTAGGGAAAGCCACTGACAGGCAGTGAGGCTTTGCTTTAGCTCCTGCACTGGGGTTGCCATGAACCGCCACGGTAAAGGGGGGTGTGGAAAGCCAGTAGTGGGAAGGCTGGGCATGGAGCTTTTGTTCAGGGGCTGCCTCTGGTCTCTTGTCAATGGGAAAGAGGTTGGGCTGAGATGCCAGGGCGAGGTGCCAGGCGCTGGATAAACAGGCAGCCTTGTCTGCACTGGGAAGTTACCCTCTTTCAAAGGCTTGAACATGTGGAAAATTGGCATCTGTGTGATCTATTGGGTCTCGGCCTCTGAAATCTGATGGAGTTTGTTCACTGTAAATCAACAGCCGTTTATGATTCCCAGCCCCCAGACCGACAGGCTTCTTCTATGAATGTCATTTGTCTTCCTGTCCTTACTACAATTAAAGGAGTCTGGCTCCCTGGAAATGTTACGTTGCCCCAGGGAAAGTTAAAACCAATGAGATGTTCATAGATTGTCAGGCCTGGCAGGAGTCTCAGAGGGGAGCGTTTATCTGAGAGTCACCTGCATGGGGTTCCTGGGCTGCTCGCTGTAACTGCTAGTCCTGGTCCTCACTCCACCTATGTTAGCTGAATCTTTGGATTATAGGCCCAGGGGGTCTCAATTTTCAACAAGTTCCCCCAGATTATTTTAAGGCACAGATACTGAGAAACACAGACAGGGGAAGCGGACTAAGTCGTCTGAATCACAGACTGAGACACTCAAATCTGTCTCCATGGATAGATAAAGACAAAGCCCCAGTGTTCTGCCTCTCAAGCAAATGTGGGTTTTTCTTGCTATTTTTTTGTTTTGTTTTGAAACCACATGATGTTCTTTTTAAGTTTATGAAAACCATAAGTTTCTTTCACAGACTTTACATTGAGATCAGTCTTCCCAGGGTTTAGGCTTAGCTGAGACAGGAGGTAAAGGGCTTAAGCAGATCTAAGCTCTATTATTGAAACCAAGAAAAACACATTTTTGGAAAACAACTAATGAAAATTTAATATTAATGTCAAGGGAGAAAGGAGTAAATGAAGAGGAGTAAGGACATGTGTTGGTTTGTGATCTGTAGCTCGATCAGGAACATTCTCTTGCTGTTGAGTGAACAATCTAGAAAAGGCAACTTGATACTGAAATTGTTGTCCCTGGTTTGCAGAGTATAAAACATATTACTGTGCCAATATTCCAAAATATTTTTGTATTCATATTTTATCCACACCACTCTGATCAGAGAAGTGTCGCATGTTTATTTAAAAGATGAAATTCAGGGCAGTGAAGAGACTTTTCTATGTCCAGTTAGCAAGTGGCTCAAGAGCAGAGTATATTAGCAAGTATATTACAACAATATTTTTTTGAGAGTTTACTCTGGATCAGGCCGCTCTTTAAGCATTTGACAAAAATATTGCGAATTAATCCTCATGTACTTATTTCATTAAACCCCATTACAGCTCTACAAATAGCATGTTCCTGATGAAGAAATTGAGGCACAAGGAAGAAACATCTTTCATTCACTCCTCTGCTTATAAACCCATGTTGAGCTTTTTGGTTCTGGACATTTATTTTTGGTTCTAAAGGGACAGAGGGACGTTTACATCTGCTTTCATAAAGATCACACTTGTCTGGGGAGGGATAAGCATGAAACGATAAAGTAAACATAAAACCATAAAAATATAACTTGAGATGAAGTCAATCAAGAACCTCCAGGCCATGGGGAGTGACGGGGCACGAGACACATTCTGCTTGACAATGGTCAAAATTATGGTCCATGAGCAACACCGGAAGGCAGTGAGGAAGGCACATGTAGCTGACTGGGGGAAGAACAGGACAAAGGCCCTGAATATGACCTACAGCTCTCTCTTGAGCCAGCAGAGAGGCTGGAGCAGAGCAGTCAAGCAGAGCAGTGGGATGAGTCAGAGAATGAGCGGGAGGTGACGTGCTGTGTAGGGAGAATCCTCTGACTGAGGGAGGAGGGAAGCCATTAGAGGGTTTCAAGTAGTGAGTGACAGGAGAGGTTGCTCCAAGTGCAGTGGGGAATCACTTAGAGAGGGCAGAGGTAGAAGTGGCCCAAGGTCATATAACTATCGCCACTTGGGAGGTAGTGCTGGGGGAAGTCATCTCAATTTTTACATCTGCCTCCTCAAGAGGCAGAGATTATTCTCACGAGCAAGTGATTCTCACCTTCTGTGTATCCTGTGCTCAGTTTTCCTGCCACACACAAGAGGATCTCCGGATGGACAGTGGTCGTGGCCCTCTCTGCCAGTGGGCAGGAGGAGCCCTTGGAGCCAGGCCAGTGCCGCTCTCAAGGCCACGGCCTCAGTGGCCCTCACTCACCTTCGACTTCTCTTGATGCAGCTCGATCTGGATGTCTGTGAGCTTGGTCCTGAGGTCTTCATTGGCAGCTTGAAGGGCGACAATAAGCGCCTCAGGCTTCTCACCCTTGTTTCGCCCTTTCTTGGACATTGTTCCTTTCTAAATGGCGTCTCTGCTTTTTGATTTCTTTCAAACAGGTGCTGCCATGTTACTGCTTCTTATCCCAGAATGTGATGTTATGGCATCTACTGCGTGGTGCTCCTTGATAAGGCCTCCTCAGCTGCTACCCTGGAAGCCCTGGGGAGGGGAGACGGCAATTACTGTTGTGGCAAAGTCTTGGGCTGAGTCAATTGGTCACCCTCACCCTGAGCTGCCTGTGAGAGCCTTGTCCTGAGTGCTCATGTCCACACAGTCTCCTGCCCACTTTTCACACAAATATAGGGGAACTTCCAGATCATATGTCTGTGTAAAATCCTTCAAAGACCTAGGAGTGTGTCTTTCACATCCTGGAGTGCTCCTTATGCCCAAATCTGCCCTTTCTCCTCACTGCATCACTTCCATTTCACTCACTGATACTCTGGCCATAGGAACATGTTTTGATGTTCTTATTCTCTCTTCCCACTAAAAAGAAAGAATTTATTCATTTTTCTCCAATCTCTTACCAGCCTCTCCACATGGTTTGTTCTTATACCTCATCCTCATACCCTGCCACATACACAGTTTAGTCTAATTTTTATGATTTTTTCAGATTTCAGCTTCCATATCACTTCTTCCTGGAAGCACCCTCCAGGCCATTACAGACTCTTATTATTTAATTGAAGTCACTTCCATACATCTGTAAACTTTGTGAGGTAAGAATGTGTTATTCTAATTTGCAACTTGCTTCTCAGAATCTGTCATAAGGCCTGGGACATACCAGGTACTCAATATTCGTGAAAATAAGCCTCCTATGTGATGATGACCTCATGGCTGTCTTGTCAAGAACCCCAATTTTAGGAAAAGACTTGATATGTGAAGACTTAGAATTAGACTGTAGATAAAAACAAGGATTAATTGTAAATGGATTACTCAGTTAGTTGGGTCACACATTCATTTATTCAGTGAATATTGTTAGAGTTCCTTCCACATGCAGCGCTAGGTACAGCATGTTCAAATTGAAAACTAAGAATCTGAAGGCAAGATGAACCCCTCCTCACCTCTCCACCTGTCTATCGACTTGCCTACCTACCTACCTGTCGTCATCATCATCATTATCACAGCTACTTAAAAAATGATGTCTTTAAAAAATGTAAACACCAGTTGTTTCCCAAATGTAGATGAGGGCCATCCTAGAGGGGTGGAAGGAAGGTTCCTAGAACATGGCAGCATTGACATGGAATGTGAGGAGTGAGCAGGAGGCCAAGAGATGGAAAAATAGATGAATCATCCTGAGTGAGAGAAATGGCCAGTGCTGACATACAGCTAAGAGAAAGCACAATAAGTATTTTTTTAAGATTTATTTATTTATGTGTACAGAACTGGGGCACAGGCCAGAGGTGCAGGGGAAATGAGAGCCTTCACCCGACACAGAGTGGGGAGCAGAACAGGCAGGCTGACAAAGTACACCGCTGAGGGGAGCAGTGGGCAAGACAGGAGCAGTCTGCTGAGCCAAGTGGATCACACCCCTGGCTGGGGATCAAACTTGGCTGAAGCAACTGCGGCTAGCTTTGCAGTGCTAGGCTTTAACCCATTGCACCACCAGGGAGGTCCTATTTTTGTGGGAGAAGGAGAGGGGATGGTTTGGGGGAAGTGGGTACTGGTTAATCACAATATGGTAGGTGGGAGTGAATACTGAAAACCTTGCCTGGAAATGACTGTGGGAGACCTGGAATGACAAGGTTAGGATTTGAGAATCATTTCTTTACTAAGCTGTTGAAGTTTTCAGCAAGTGGATGCTCTGACGGAGCAGGGATTTGTGTGCTTTCTCTGGTCAAATTGGGGAGACAGTGGAGTCAGGGAGAGTGGTCTGGAGGCCTCTGAACTTGCTAAGGCAAAGGATGATGAATGCCTAAACAGAACAGCAGCAAGAAGAGAGTCAAAATGAAGGCTGGATCTTAATTTACAAATCCCTAAATGCTTCATAGGAATAAGGAGGTCAGAAAAATGTGAATACTAGGCCATCCAAGTCATGAGGAAACATGACAAGATAATAAAGTTTCCCATGTAACCTTTCAGAAAATGATACTGTGTACATGGAGGTGCTTCAATTCAGACCTAAAGGGGATTCCTACCCTCACCCATATGTTCCTGCAGCTGCTCTGCTCTCAAGGCACCTGGTATTCAACCTTGAGGCCCATGCTGTGTTCCCAGACTTTCTGCCACCCTCCCTAAGAGAACTGGGACCATCCCCTTTGAGGTATGTCTCAGGGGAAGGAGCCAAGGAAAGGTTAGTGGAGAGGGAGATCTTAGGGGAAAGGGAGAACCAGGCTCTCTCTAGCGGTCACAGACCTGGCTACCATATTCCCCCTAGAGTCCTTCATGCTTATTTCACAAATCTTGCCAAATTATTATAGTATCCTGCTGGGAGACTTCCAGAGACCACTATTCTTTGCTACTAGAATTGAAATTAGTTCACTAAGCATTTATTGACTCTAAACTACCAATCTTAGGTTGTAATTGTTAAGGGTTTGGTGGCAAAGTCTATCCAAGAAAATGAAAATATCCCAGCAATCCTAACATTTTAATAACCAACTACACTTTCTACAGGTTCTTACATTCTGAAACACCACATAATTCTTTAGCAGAAATGTGGCCACCTATTTGTTGGAGAAAATATGGCCACTATCTCTTGAATACCATTCTTGGCTTTTTCTAGATGTTTAAAGTCACAAGCATCATTCTTACCCTCAGACAGCTTGCAGCTTGTACTATGAGACACACATCAATAAAGAGAAAACTAATTCTAGAAAGCAGTGAATGATGTAGTTGGCAATGCTGTAGGAGTAGCCTATGGAGAGCCAAGAATGCATGGAAACAATGGAAAAGTGGCATGTGCAGTAAGCTGGAAGGATACTGCCTACCTTACTGCATTTTTACTCTGTGGCAGGCCCTGTGTAAGGTACATTAACTCTAGGTAGACCTTTCAAATATCTACTAAGGATCAGAGTAGTAACTTGAAAATAAATTACACTGATAGAAAATGGCACAATTGCATCTCAAACACACATCTGTCTGTCTCCAAAGCTTCTTGGCCATAATAACACTCCTCTAATGAGAGGGCAGGATTTCACTCTGTTGTAGGTAGACTCACGAGATGGCAATGGCAGCTGGGGCCAGTCCACAAAATATAATGGTACAGCTTAGTGGTTAAGAAATTGGTGTTTGCTGCCTCACTCCAGTCACAAAAAATCAACTCAAAGTGGATTAAAGACCTA